TTTTTAGATGCTAAACCAACCTTGCATTTGTGGGATAATTCTCATGACATAATCTTTTTTATATGTTGTTGGATTTAGTTTCCTTGTATTTTGTTGAGTAAAACTGACTTGATAGAATGAGTGTCAAAGTTCTTTTATCTTCTATTTCTAGCTTATAAAGAATTGCCATTAAATCTTTCTTAAATGTTAGGTAATATTCTCCAGTGAAGCCCTCTCAGTCTGGGTTTGTTTTTCTAATTCAGATATTTTCTTTCTTTTTGAGCCTGTTTAGTACTTTGTGTTTCTCCAGGAATTTGCTCATTTTCTTTATATTGTTAGCATAAAGATGTTCATTCATAGTCTTCCCTTATAATCCTTTTAATTTCTATAACATTCTGTAATGTTGGCAATGACATTGTTTCATTTCCAATTTTAATACTCTATTCCTTTTTCCCCTTGATGAGTATAGCTAGAGGCTTATCAATGTTACTGACCTTTCCAAAGAATTAACTTTTTTGCTTTTGTTGATTTTCTCTATTTCATTTATCCATTTTAATTTTTACTCTTCTTTGTGTTTGCTCTGCTAATTTGCCCCCCACCACCCCACCCCGTCTTAAGGTGAAAGGTTAGATTACTGATTTGAGATCTTTTTTCTTTTCTTTCTTTCTTTTTTTAAATTTTTTTTTCAGTTGTAGATGAACACAATATCTTTACTTGTTTGTTTTTATGTAGTGCTAAGGATTGAACCCAGGGCCTCACACAGGTGAGGCAAGTGCTCTACCATGGATCTATAACCCCAGTCCTTGCTTCTTTTTTAATATATGCATTTAAAACTATAAATTTCCCTTAGCATTGCTTTCAATACCTCCCATAAGTTATGGTACACTGCATTTTCATTTTTTATCATCTCAAGTTTTGGTATGTTGTGTTTTAATCCATTCTTTTCAAAGTATCTTCTAATATCTTTTATGTATTTTTTTTGACTCATTGGTAATTTAAACAGTTTATGTCCTTAGGTTTGTGAATCCATAAGCTTCCTTCTGTTACTAATTTTAACTTTATTTCATTGTATGATTTCACTTTTTAAAATATTTATTGAGGCCTACCATATGTCCCATCTTGGAGACTGTTCTATGTGTACTTCAGAAGAATATGAATTCTTCTGTTCTTGGGTGGAGTGTTGTATTACTGCATGTTAGATTGAGGAGGTTATAGTATTTATAATGTTGTTCACAACTGCTGTTTTTTTGTTGATCTTTGTGGCTTGCCAATCCATCATTCAAAATGGGGCACTGAGGTCTCCAACTATTATTGTTTAATTGTTTATTTCTTCCTGCAATTCTGTTAGTTTTTGCTTCCTGTATTTTGGGGCTGTGTTGTTAGGTACAAATATATTTATAATCACAATGTCTTCCTGTTGGATTGACTCTTTTGTCACAGAAGAATGTCCTTCTTTGTCTTTAAGAATAGTTTTTGTATTACAGTCTAATTTCTTTCCCTCAGTATAACCACATGAACTTTCTTACCACTACTGTCTGCATGACTTTTCCCTTTTGTACCTTTAAATCTATTTTTATAATTATATCCAGCCTGATAATCTCTGCATTTTGATGGATTTTTTATTCAGTAACCTTTAATGTTATTGATATATTGGATTTATACCTGTTGCTTTACTTTTTGTTTTTTATATCTCAGAGTTTTCCCTTTGTGCTTTTTTTAAAAATTCATTTTACATTTAAATATTTTCTTTTCTTTCTTTTTAAATTTTGTACTGGGGATTGAACCTAGGGGAGCTTTACTGCTAAGCTACATTTCTCAACCCTTTTTATTTTAGTTTTAATTTTGAGTCAGGGTTTCACTAAGTTCCTTAGGAGCTTGCTAAGTTGCTGAAGCTGGCCTTGAACTTGTGATCCTCCCGCCTCAGCCTCCTTAGCTGCTGAGATTCAGACATGCATCACTGAGCCTGGCACATTAATATATTTTCTAACATTTTAATCCTTTTTTTTTCACTATTCATTTTCTAATTGTTTTCCTACTGGCTTCTCTAGGATTTATCATATACATTGTATGTGTATGTTGCTGGGGATCAAACCCAGGACGTCATTGCAGCCTGGTAAGCACTCTTCCATTGAGCCACATCCCCAGCCCTATCATTTACATCTTAACTTATCAGAATGTTCTTCAGTTTTATACTATTTAATTCCAGTAATACATTAAACTGTTACTCATATATCCCCCTTTCCTTTTCCTCCTCTTTGTGCTATTATTGTTACAATATTACAGCTACATATATTACAAATTCTTTGTTTTAATTACTAGTTTCTATAATTTATGTTCTTTAAAGAAGCTGAGAGAAGAAAGGACAGCAAGCATGTATTCAAACAATTTGTTATATTAACTCTTAACTACTATTTCTGATTCTCTTAATTTGTTTCTGTGACATGAAAGGAGTTCCAGAAAGAGGAAAAGATGGATGGGAAATATCTGAGGAAAGCTTTTCCACAATTAAGGAAAAATGAAACATGAAGATTTAAATATTGAAATTGAGAGGGGTAACAGAACACCAAAAAAAAAAAAAAAAAAAAAATGCAGAGTCTTCAAATCTTTGGAAATTTAGATAATCTAACTGAAACAATACCAACCATTCAAAATAATGTATTAATGACAAATATGTATACACACACACACACACACATACATATATATATGATGGAAATATAATGTATGTGAAAAATGTGTTCCCAAACTAGGTATTGCATGCTGCCATTTATCATAACATATCATGTGAAGTAGGGAAAAAGAGAAGGAGGAAGAGGAAGTGAGGTGAAGCAAAGGGAAGATAAGCAGGAGATGGCTGGAAGGAAGAGGGGGAGTAGAACAATATAGACCAAACTGTTAATTATAGGTCATAAAATTATGAATAAATTTTATGATAAGGTTTTAGATTACATATATTTTATAATTTGCAATAAGTTATACTTGTGATAAAATAATACACTTAAAAAATTGGGGCTGGGGTTTTAGCTCAGTGGAAGAGCACATGCCTAGCATGTGTGAGGCATCAGATTCGATTCTTAGCACCACATATAAATAAATAAAATAAAGGTCTATTGACAACTAAAAAATATTTTAAAAAATCCAGCAGAAATGAGCAAAACATACAAAAAAGGCAAGTCATCTACAACAAAATTAAAATGGCCCAGAAATATACACAGTTATGTACTGCCCAATGATGTTTTGGTCAGTAATAGACCACATATACGATGGCTGTCATATAAGATAATAGAGATGAAAAATTCCTATTACCTAGTGATGTCATAGCTGTCATTGTACTACAATGCATTGCTCATGTGTTTGTTGTGTTGCTGGTGTAAACATACCTAATGCATTGCCAATTATAGAAAAGTATAGCACATACAATACATAAGACCTTATAATACACAACTATGTTACTGGTTTATATATTTACTATACTACCATTTTTGTCATTATGGTGTACTACTTTATCAAGTTTCTTGACTGCATCAAGAGGCCATGTTGATATTGACTATACCACCCAGGTTTGTGAAAGTACACACTATTGTTCATACAACTACAAAATCACCTAATAATGCATTTCCTAGAACACGTATCCCCAATGTTAAGTAACATGTAATTGTATATACCCAACCTCCCTAGAAATCAAAGAAATACAAATTATGATGATACTGCATTTTTAACTGATCAAATTGGAAAATAGTTTTCATAGGAAGATGCTTAGTGTTAGTAAGGATCCTAGGAAATAGGTTGATAAATGTATGAACATACCAACTTTTCTTCTTAAAAAATTTCTACCCCTTTTAAACTAGCAATTCCTTTTCTGGGAATTTATTCTATAGAAAAATAGTGGATACTCCAACTCTTCAGCTGTAATGAATATTAGAGGACATTTTAGAGAATATTCCATGAAAAATTTGGATTTATATTAATTAAGATTTAATCCAATGGCATGTGCCTAGGCTGAGACAGGAGGATTGCTTGAGCCTAGGAGATGGTAGCCCTAGGCAACACAGCAATACCCCATTTGAGAAAGAAAGAAAATGATTTAATACACTGAAAATAGTCTAAAATGGCAAATAACACGTAAAAGAATATACGAAAAGATCACATAATATAGATGTTTTTTGGATATTAGAAGTATTAGTATTAAATTTGCTTTTCTTTTGCTCCTCAATGTTTTCTAAATTATCTAGAAAAGACAATAAATTACTATATTTGAAGTAGAAAACAGTTTTTTAAAAATAAAACATATTACCCTAAGATATGGAAGCTATTTTTATTTTTCAATGATTTATAAACATATATCCAATATTTACATAACTTTTTGAGCTAATGTGGAAATAGCTGAGTCAGTTACACTTACCACAGCATCAAAGATTTCATTCTCTGCCCCCCTTGATAAGGAGCACAAATTATGTACAGAGCATTGTGTTACACAAGATAGGGATTATATATAAAAGCCAGGGACCTGTATTTCTGACTTAAATAAGAGGCACAGTAACGGGGAGAAAAAGACTTATAAATTCACAACTACAAATCAATGGTTGAAAGTGTCAAGGAAAGGAAGAGGTGATTCCAACTGGGAGAATGAGGGCATGGTTTTATATACTAGTCAGCCACAATTTGCTTTTCTTTCCTTCTCCAATTTACCACTGAACGATTAAGATCATAAAAGAACTAAAATTCAAAGTATCTACTCCCATATTCCATATAAATGCTTACTAATGTTACTGATCCCTCCAGACCAGCTTATGTGCCACTTCACCATTGTTTCTGTAGGTTAACAGTATTTCTCATGATATGCTGTGGCCAAGAATTCTGTCTGTCTCCTTCCCTAAACTGAGAGCTCTGATAGGGCAGAGATTAAGTTTAACCCATTTTAGCATCCTCAGGTAGAATCAGCTTCCACAGATATCTGTCATGACCTTTAAAGCTTTGTGCATGTGTTTAACATCTAAGAAAATAAAATGTAAAAGTCATACCTGGTAGGATTCCTCTTGTCTTCCTCAGAGATCAAAAACCAAACAAAATCTGCGTAGCTCATCCTTCCCTCTTTCTGTACTGTTTTTCCTCTGAAGAAAAATGCAAGACGTAAAATTTTCTGAGCAATTAAGGAATAAAATAGCATCCTTCCTTAGAGAGGAAGGATTCTACTTTTTGAAAAAGTAGAATGCTGGGTACCTCATAAACAGCACATTTTGTGGCCTAACTTCTTTTTTAAAGGCCTCCAGGGTGAAACCAGAAGATATTTACAAATATGAAGAAAAGAAAATATGGTTTCTAATATAAATACAAATAATGGTATCAAATATTGTTACCTGTATTTAGGTATAAGACTAATTCTTTTTTTAAAATATATTTATATATTTTAGTTGTCAATAGATTTTTAAAATTTTATTCATTTATTTATTTATATGTGGTGCTGAGGATCGAACCCAGGGCCTCACACATGCCAGGCAAGTGCTCTACCACTGAGCCATTACTCCAGCCCAAGACTAATTCTTATGTTAAAGAGAATTACTGTCTTACATTAAACCATGATTGTGGGTTTTTTTTTTTAGGATATTATTTGACCCAATAGTGCTGCCAAATTATACAAGAAGCCTTTCTAATATGAGATTATTACATTATTACTGATAGTTATGTTTTAATTCAGATTTTGAACTTTTTCTCACCTTGTTACTGCCCCAGAAAATATCCTTTCAATAATTCTGTTTGATGATGCTAAATGTAAATAACAAATTACAAAGATAGTTAGAAATATACTTCATGTAAGCAATACTTCTGGTAAATTTATTTTCATTTGCTACAAGCTAAACCATAACAATCTTCTATGACAAGAGTATGAGTAAATCTTTCTTATATATATGCTTTTTTCCCGTAATTTTAAAAAAGAACAAGGAAATGAATGTGCTTGACATTTGCAAAGTATTTATGTAGTTGAGCTTATATGTATAAAATTTATATTGATTTTTGTTATCCATAAGACAAAATTTCCTCTAAAACAAGACAAACTTTATCTCAGCATTAATTCAAGGGGGAACTGATTTTTACAGCTCCTAAAAAAAGGTCAAATGAAAGCAAGTAAAACAATGGAGAATTCTTTTAAGCAGAGTTTTAGAAAAGAAACTAAAACATATCATGAACATACTTTCTTATATTCCCACTCTATGAAAGTCCAGGATATAACAAAATTTTTAGAAATTCTATCTGTAAGTCTTATTTATATAGATAATTATATCTTAAGATGATATATTGCTTTTTGATAACTGATGCTAAAAAATCTATAGCAGTATACCTCACTGTGATTCAAACAGCTAAAGGCATTAATTTAAATTAAAAAAAAAAAAAAAGGAGATCTTAGGTCTCAGACCTGCTCTTTTAACAAGTACCCCAGGCAATGGCATACACACTAGAATTTCAGGACCCATGATGAGGTTAATAGGGAGTTAGCAGCTATTGACATCTAGTTTTTCCTGCATGCTGTTAGATATAGTCAACATAAAGGTACATCAGTCTAGTAGAAGAAAACTTTGAATGTGTGTGCCAGGAGAGTCATACCTGGCCACACAAAAAGCTTACATAAAGACCCTCTATACTTTATTGAGCACTATCGTATGGGGTTAATAATTTGTACTAGATAGAAAAGAGGTATATAGGGAAAGCAAGGATATTTAATTCCAAAGCTATGATTTTTCTTAAGTCTTTTTTAGCTTTGGAAGCAATGATTCCATTTCCTAACCCTGAAGATCATATTATTCCATACTATCCCATTAAGCACAGTTGCTGAGTGAAGAATTATTTACAGTTTAGAGGTCTCTGCATTTATTCAGAACTAGATGCCTGCTTTTCTGGACTTTTTCCCATTCAAATGAATCTAGTGAGTTGCTATTATGAGAGGATTTTTGAGAACTTGAAAATTACATTTATAGCAACCAGAAAGGGAGCTTTAGAGTCCATAGGGTTGTGCATGATTTTTTGAGGCTGGCTCATGTATGGATGATCTGTTATGGGTAATAGAAATGTACAGGGCTAATAGGGCTGATCATATACCTCTATGAATATATTCATCTTTATGGTATATTTTAGTGACAAAAATGTTATGACTACTTGATGATGGGAGGTAACAGTACTAATGTATTTGTTTATCAAATAAGTTACACGAAGTTATTTCCACTTTATGTCTGTTTGGCACCTGAGGAGAACTGCCATAAACCATTAGTCACAGATACACCAAATAACAAACAATATTCAATACATTTATTTAAGATCTATACTCTGTTACATCTAAAAAGACTGAGAAAATATTTAAGGACAGAACAGGAATAATCTTATGACAGAAGAATGAATCATTGTATGTTGGTGCTTAGTTAAGAATATTCAATCAGTAGGCAATAGGTTCTAAGTTTGCAGTGAGCAAAAATGAAGAAAAAAGCATAATATTGTCTGACATGTAATTTTTTCTTTTCTTACAAAATCACACAAAATTCATCTTCAGAGGAAAATATCTTTCTGGAATTAAATTGAAAAAGTAAAATTTTATAAGAGTCCTTGAAAATAAAACTTGATAAGGTAGAGACATTATTTTCATTCTTGGCCTTTTATAGAAATATTGTTAAATGAAAAAGTTTATAAAAAGTGTATATATATATGTGTATATATATATATATATATA